ATCTTTCAGATTGATCCATATATACTTCTTCCTCTAGATCACCATTCAAAAAAGCGGTTTTAACATCCATTTGATGAAGCTTTAAATCATAATGAGCAACTAAAGCCAATATAATTCTCAAAGAGTCTTTCTTAGAAACTGGAGAGAAAGTTTCTTTATAATTTGTGCCTTCCTTTTGGGTGAAACCTTTGGCAACAAATCGGGCTTTATACCTTTCGATATTACTACGTGAGTCAAACTTGGTCTTAAAAACCCATTTACAACCGACTTTCTTTGCACCTTCCGGTAAATCTAGTAAGTCCCAGACATTATTGTCGTTCATGGATTTTAATTCTTCTTTCATGGCATCAAACCATTTTCCAGAATTACAACTATTCATGGCTTGTTGAAATGTAGACGTATCATTTTCAATGCTTAAGTCACATTCATGTTCTAGAGCATAAACCACATAATCATCTGAGATCGCAGATCTCCTTTCCCTTTCAGATCGTCTCAAGATGATCGGTGGTTCATTAATCTCCTCTGGTACCATGACTGGTTCATTAATAATGCTCTCATTATGTGGGTTTTCGACATGCTCTTTTGTACTGGAATATCACGAGACGTTGATGTGAATTTCGGTACAAGAACAACAGAAGGGAAATATGGTGTGAAAACATTATCCCGGATCTCTTCTATGCTAACTTTTCGTGATTCATCACTCCCATTGATTTGACCATTTTCAATGAACCTTGCATTGTCAGTCTCCATAATTCTCGTACTATGGTTATGACAATAAAATATAAATCCTTTAGACTTTTTTGGATAACCAATGAAAAATCCACTGATTGGCCTAGGATCAAGCTTCTTTTCATGTGGATTGTATACTCTTATTTCTGCTTGGCAACCCCAAACATGCAGGTACCTTAAACTTGGTTTTTTCCCTGTCCACATTTCATAAGGTGTTTTAGGGATTGCTTTGCTAGGAACCCGATTAAGCAAATAAGTTGTCGTTTTTAATGTATACATCTACAATGAGAGAGGTAAAGAGCTATTACTTGTCATGCTCCTAACCATGTTCATTAATGTATGATTCCGCCTTTCTCCTACACCATTTTGTTGTGGTGTATCGGGCATTGTCTATTGTGCACAAATACCCTTACTTTCGAGGAATTTTGCAAATGGACCTGGACATTGTCCAGTCTCATTATATTTTTCATAATACTCACCACCTCTATCGGATCTCAAAACTTTAACCCTTTTATCTAACTGCCTCTCAACCTCATTGATGAACACTTCAAGTATGTTCACAGATTGAGATTTATCATGCAGAAGATAAGTGTAACCATAACATGAGTAATCGTCGATAAAAGTAATAAAGTACCTTTCTCTACCCTACGTGAAAATATCAAAAGGACCACAAATATCAGTGTGAATTAATTCTAGAAGTTGAGTGCTTCTTATGGCTGCTTTCTTTACAGTATATTTTGTCTGCTTTCCTTTGATGCAGTCTGTACATACCCCTAAATCACTAAAATCCAAATATGGTAAATTTCATTCTTCACCAACTTGTTAAGATTTCTTTGGATATATGACCTAATTTTTGATGCCACAATAAAGCCGAACTTTCATTGTTAGGTACACTACATTTAACACCCATAATATTTTCAACATTAAACAAGGATTATGAAAACTTTCTATCAAGATTAAAACGATAAAGACCATCCATTAAAATACCAGAACCGAAAATGTGTTCATGTTTATATAATTGAAACATACCAGAACCAAACTTAACAAAAAAACCCATCAAGTCTAATTTTCCAATAGAAACAAGATTTCTTGCACATTCAGGACCATAAAGACATCCTTCAATAACTATGTGAAAGCCGGTGTCTAAGACCAATATATAAGTCCAATGCCTTCTATCCGTGCTTTCATCTTATTCCCCATGACCACGTGTCGTTCAGGTCTTTTTATGGTTTGGATCACACTGAATCCCTGTTTAATATGAGAAACGTGAGTAGTAGCACCTGAATCTAACCAGTATTATTGGGCACTTCAATAACATTCGATTCAAAACAAGCTAAAATATTATGTTTACCTTTGCTTTCGAACCATCCCTTTCTTTTCTGGGAATCTTTCTTAATGTGTTCAGTCTTTTTACAGAAAAAACACTTGATTTCTTTCCGGACTTAGTTCACATTATCTTTTATTCGAGCCTTATCCTTCTTTTTGCCATTTTTTCCTGGTTTTCTTTTATTGCTGCCGGCATTAGTTTGAACTGTAAGATGGATATAATGTTCTTTCATCTTCTTTAATCTCCATTCCTCCTGTATGAGCATGACCTTCAATTCCTGAAAGTTCCATTTTTCCTTGATGTTGTTATAATTCACCTGAAACTGACCAACCTCAACAGGGAGAGAGTTAATGATGAACTGGACCAGAAATGACTCATTAACATCCATTCCCATAGCTTTCAACTTTGCCGCCATATTACACATATTAGTCACATGATCATGGATAGGCTGAGACCAGTCAAACTTTTTTGTAGTCAGCTCACTCATGAAACTTCCTACAATCGACTTGTCAGCCAGATCCGACTGAGAATACTCTTTAATCTTTTGCATAAATTCCTTTGCACTTTCAGTTTTAGGCATCGATGGCTTAACACTTTCTGCCATAGTGATCCTCATCAAGTTCAAACATAACCTATTTGATCGCTCCCACGAATCGAAGTTAATCCTGTCACTTTCTGAGCTTTCATCTGTTATGGATGTTAGCTTTTCATTCAACAATGCATGATCCATATCATTGAAACCCAAACAATTGAATCTGTTCAGACCAATCTGCATATTAAGCCCGTTGAACTTAACAATTCCATTACCATAAGCCATAAGGTTAAGTAAAGCTGAAATTTTATAAATATCCATCCATTGGTATTTCAAAATTAACAATAATATGTACCAAAGTTCACCTTTAGATAATACTTCGATACATATATGCAATTATTGATGCAAAATATATTTTAATGGACATCATAATACTACCAGTTAAATAAACATGCAATCTTTGGACAATACATACTTATCAACAAAAAATTATGCCCCTTTAATATTATTAATTATATGCATTGATCCATCTTTGGATGATCTAATAGAAATATGATAAATAATTATAATTATTCAATTATCTATTTATTTATTTATTTATTTTATATCATACATTTGTATCCTTTCATAATGAACAATTAAACATATATATTTGATTTGAATATTTAATTTTAATTTAAACTAGATCACTTTGGTGACTAACAAGTTTAAAATATAAAACAAATCAAAATATTTTTAACTTGCATGTAATATGTATCCACATAGCTAATTTCATAAAGTATATAAATTATTATCCATATAAATTACTATATAGTATATTAATACATAATAATATACTTATACGAAGATACAAAATAATAATAATAATACATATTTATTATAACAACATAGAAGTTATAAATGTTAATACATTACAATAACTTAATTTATTTATTTAAAATTGTTATTAATGAATGCATAACTTTTATAAAATATAGGTAATTTCATGTGCATTTTGATATGTTCAAGACATATATTATTATTATATAACAATTATATATATATATATTAATATATACTAATTCATGTATATATATACATTTTAATTTCTTATTATTTTAATCTATGATATATTTTAATGAAAATTATATGTGTATAAAATGCACATTAACCTTTAATTGTGCATATGAATAAACACGTTTTAAGATCAACGTAATAAGATATATATAAAAACGTGTTTCATAATTTTTTCGAAATATAGTACAATTTCGAAAATTTAATCGATGAATTATGATAACACCAAAACACATGCTCTGATACCAAATGTAAATTTTATTCTGATGGTTTTCGATAACTTTATAAAAACTCACCAAAACTGGATACAGTATTATATAACTCACACAAACTTAATAAGATAGTATATATCGTATATGAAATATAGCTAAATCCATATTGCAGCGGAATGACTTTGAAGAACAAGAGGGTAAATCAGTTTTTCTCTCCTTTCCTCTTTTCTTTGATAATTTTTTTGATGGATGAAAAATGTGAATCAAGATCCTAAATTTATAAGATAAGGAGAGATGGATTACCATGAATACCAATAGACTTTCAAACTTAATTAAATCATATCCATCAATGAATTCAAATTAATATGAAGTCCAAACTCAAAATTTTATGGGTCATTTTAATGTTTTATATTTCCAACATCGGATACTTAAAAATAGTTTTTTAGGATAAATCACGATATTATATAAATATCCGATCTTTTAAAAAATTTCCATATAAATAACTGAATTATAAAATTCTCAAATAAATATCTAAACTTTTCAAAATTTTTATAAAAATACTCAAACTTTTAAAAATCTTTCAAATTAAACAATATTCGTTAACGATGTTAACGTGTCAGAATTTCAAGTCATCAAATTTTTTACGGATTCCGTTATAAATTAAATGACGTTAATGGATTTTTGTTTTATTTGGGAGATTTTTCAAAAATTTAATTATTTATATGAAAGTTTTGAAAATTCAAATATTTATATAAAAGTTTTATATTTCAGATATTTATATAAATTTTTTTCACAAGTTTAATATTTATATGTGATATTTCTTTTTTTTATAATTTTCTAATTAAAAAAAATCCTCTACGTTGAGGAGAGGAGCAATCACAATTCGTCATTCTTGTGATATCTTAAAATATTTTACATTCGAGGACTCTTGCATGTTTTTTTTTTCCTATTTCTAAATTGTAATAATCTTGATTCGTTCTATATTTTTATAAATTACAATAGATTACTTTTTCGACTGTGTTGAAACAAAATTAAAAAAAAAACATGGCAAAACATAGGAAATAATATCATAAATCAACAACAAAAAAACAATATCATAAATCATGTTCCCAGAAAATAATTAAAATAAGCGAATCTACTTGAAAAAAAAAGTAAAAACAAAAACAATAGCTCTGTAGCCATTACGCGAAGAGTTCGATCTCCAGAGCAAAATTTCTCCTCTTCCATCGGCTAGGGTTTCTGCCGTCGCCGCCTCCATTGTCGTTGCTCCCAGCCTTAGCTCCGGTGAGTGTGGGTTCTTCTTCTTCTTCTTCGGATAGATTACTCTTGTTGGAGGGTATTCTACACGAACCCTAAACCATCGACCACCACTACTCTTCCAAAATTCTCGGCTTTTCATAAAAAAAATTTCAATGTTTGTAGGATGAACTTGTAATAATCCGGACATGGAGACACGTTTCCTTTGTCAAAAATCCTAGTACAAACCGTGATTCTCTTATGGTTTTTGGGTCACAGTTCTGAATCTTTCGTAATTCGAAGTGATTAAGTTGCAGAACGTGCCCATGTAGATTCTAGGTTTGTATATTTGAATATATGAACATAATGTCTGGTAAATAGCTTCACTACCTTTGGCTCTTTTACCAAATGTATAATGTCGACAAGAATGCAGTTCTTAAATTATGAATCTCTTGCTCTTTCAAATGTATAATGTCGAGATTATGTTCATATTTGAATATATGAACATAATGTCTGGTAAACATCTTCACTACCTCTGGCTCTTTTACCAAATGTCGATAGGAATGCAGTTCTTAAATTATGAATCTCTTTTCAGCAAATGCATATGTCCAAACTTAATGTCACCAAATGTTGACATGTGTATATGTATTTATCTGCAATCTCGCTTTGTGTATATGCATGATGGGGTAGCTGTTTGTAAGTTGAAATCTAATGTGACCCATAAATGTCTCTTTGGAACTTTGACGAAATAGCAGCGTTGGGATGGGGAAAGATGAAGAGGAAATGCGGGGAGAGATCGAAGAACGTCTGGTCAATGAAGAGTATAAGATCTGGAAGAAGAATACTCCCTTCCTCTATGACCTCGTCATCACTCACGCTCTTGAATGGCCTTCCCTTACGGTGGAGTGGCTTCCTGACCGTGAGGAGCCGCCCGGAAAGGACTTCTCGGTCCAGAAGATGATTCTTGGTACCCATACCTCCGAGAACGAGCCCAACTACTTGATGCTTGCCCAGGTTCAGCTTCCCCTTGACGACACCGAGAGGGAAGCCCGCGAGAACGAGCCCAACTACTTGATGCTTGCCCAGGTTCAGCTTCCCCTTGACGACACCGAGAGTGACCCCCGCCAATACGACGATGACCGCTCTGAATTTGGCGGCTTCGGCTGTGCCACTGGCAAGGTAAGGTCCTTCCCATTTTCTTACTTCATCTTTCACTTCAAGATTTGTTCTTCAGTTTCCGATGGAAAAGTCGAAAACTTGAGCAGGTGCAAATTATCCAGCAAATTAATCACGAGGGCGAAGTCAACCGTGCTCGTTACATGCCCCAAAATCCGTTCATCATCGCCACCAAGACAGTGAATGCCGAAGTTTATGTTTTCGACTACAGCAAACACCCTTCTAAACCTCCTCTGGATGGAGCCTGCAATCCTGATTTGAGACTGAGGGGTCACAGCTCTGAGGGGTATGGCCTGTCCTGGAGTAAGTTCAAGCAAGGCCATTTGCTTAGCGGTTCCGACGATGCTCAAATTTGTGTTTGGGATATCAATGCCACTCCCAAAAACAAGGCTCTTGATGCTCTTCATATCTTTAAGGTAAACCCTGTCGGTTCTTCCCTTCCCTTGTAGAAAGAATCCAGTGTTCTTTCATTATGTTTACTCCGCTGCATCTACTAGCCAAACTGTAGTAAATTACGAGCGACCATTTCAGGTTTTGGTTCGATTATATTCGAATTCGGCTGTTTCGGTTCTGGAAATTTGTTTTTTATATCGAATTTGATTCGGTTCGGTTCTATATTGGTTCAGGATCGGATTTTACTGATAAAATAATTCATTTCAACAAAAGTTTGGTGTTTTCAGGTATTTTTTATTCGGTTTGGTTAAGTTTGGATTCGGTTTTTTCGGTTTTAGAGGAATCATAACCATTCGGTTTGAAGTCGGTTCGGTTCTTTCTATTTCTGTTCGGGTCCGGATTTTATTGACAAAAAGTACTCATTTTTCGAAGAAATTTTCGGTTTTTGAAGTTATTTTTTATTCGATTTTGTTCAGTTTGGATTCGGTTTTTGAGAAATCATAGCCATTCGGTTTTCTATCGGTTTCAGTTCTGTTTAACCTGTTATGTGTTATTCGGTTAACCAAATTGCATACTCCTGTTACAAATTTAAGTCAGCTTGGTCCTGGAACCCTGTCATTGTTAATACATGATATAGAACCTTGACAACAAATGACAATATGTTCGATGGTTTCTCTCTTAACTTTTGGCCACGTGATGACTGATGAGCATTTGCTTGATTTATAGGCTCATGAAGGTGTAGTTGAAGATGTAGCATGGCATCTGAGACATGAGTACTTGTTCGGTTCTGTCGGAGATGACCAATACCTTCTTGTATGGGATTTGCGTTCTCCATCTCCCAGTAAGCCTGTTCAATCTGTGGTTGCTCACTCAATGGAGGTTCGTGTGGAATAATAAATTGGTTTCAGCTAAAGATTAAACTCTCTCCACTATGTTAGTTTATTTTAAAAGCAATGGTTTCATACGAAAGATTGCTATTTTGTTTTTGTTTCGACTGTCTTAGGTTAACTGCTTGGCCTTCAACCCGTTTAATGAATGGGTCGTGGCAACTGGGTCGACTGACAAGACTGTAAAGTTGTTCGATCTGCGAAAACTCAGTAGCGCCCTTCACACGTTCGATAGTCACAAGTGAGAATCTTACACTATGCCCACTTTGAGGAGGATTCTCTGACCGAGACTCGAGTAATATTATTCGTTGTGACCTAATTTTTTCGGTTTGTTGTCCAGAGAGGAGGTGTTCCAAGTCGGATGGAACCCAAAGAACGAGACCATCTTAGCCTCGTGTTGCCTTGGAAGACGGCTCATGGTTTGGGACCTTAGCAGGTTTATTACTATACATAAAATGATTCTTGCCCGTCTTTTTTTTGTTAGATGGATGAGCTCCTTTTTTTTTCCTCACGGGGTTTGAGGCGTGTAATGCAGGATTGATGAGGAACAGACGCCAGAGGACGCGGAAGATGGCCCGCCAGAGCTGCTGTTTATCCACGGCGGCCATACGAGCAAAATATCGGATTTCTCGTGGAACCCTTGTGAGGATTGGGTTATCGCCAGCGTGGCTGAGGACAACATCCTCCAGATATGGCAGATGGCTGAGAATATCTATCACGACGAAGATGATGCGCCGGGCGAGGAGCCGAATAAAAGGTTCTTTTAGTTGTTTAAGCATATCCACATTTCTGCAGACCAAAACCATATTTAGAGATGGACCAACACCAGCTCTTACATCATATGCTTAACGTTTATTACAGCAACATGAACTGAAGAGATCATTAAACATTGACATAGAGACAATGGGGATTGCTCAGCAGATTCCATCCATACCAAGCAAACCAGGTTTGTGATTTCTGTGACTTCATCTCGAAATCTTTTTTTTTTTTGTAAATCCTTTAGATGTGAAAAACTGGTGTATGTAGTATTTTATGGTTTTTGGAGTTTTTTTACCAAGTGGTTGTGACATAAAGGGTATTGGCATGTGCAGTGGGCTTATTGCCGTTGTAGCCCCGACAGGCCCTGGTTTTGTGATGGAGAAAGCCTCGGGTTAGGGTTTTGAGTGGGGGTGTTAATTCGGGTTTCGGTTCGGTTATTTCAACATCAATATCGCCTTAATCTCAAGTTTATTTGGGATCGACCATATCAATTTTTCTCTTACGTCATTTCGGTTGAGTTAGTTTTTTTCTAAATTTATTACAATCCCAAGTCATTTTTATTTTTTAACACTCCTTCCTAAATAAATTTAGGTTTACCCATTCATTTTCTTTTCACTCCACGTTCTTTACCCTCTACTTTTTTAACCGGTGCATCTTTCGGTTTATGTTATATAAGCGGTTCGGTTATTTCGATTTTAAAAAAACTATAATCGTTCAGTTTTATAATGGATTTGGCAGGGATGATCATTTCGGATTTTGATTCTGGATCGGTTATTACGGTTTTAGAAAAACTATAATTATTTGGTTTTATATTGATATCACTTTGGAATTTATTGTGGTTTGGTCCAGTTTTTATTAGTAAAAATATTCATTTTTTCAAAAAAAATCAAAATTTTTTTTATTTGGTTCAGATTTTTATATCGGATTTTAGGGTTTAGGATCCGATTCCAAAATAAAATATATCGATCCCTCTTGGCATTTCAAATATTCGCATGACAAAAGTTTTGAGAGTTGATCAAATCATAATCCGATCGTTATATATTTTAAATAATAATAATAATAATAATAATAATGATTTTGTAAATGCAATTTAATGATCTGAGGTATCTCTGAGATTTAACAAACAACCTAATAATCCGTCTTGAATTCTTGGACAGCGGATTGAGTTGAATATTCGGGCATTTTTATCTAAACACGTTTTCACCATGTTAAAACTAGACCATTTTCGTGTTTTCTTGAATAACCCAACAAAAAAAAAAAAGAGACACGAGTAGAGTTCATGGCATCCTGATGTTGCAAGAACACGATCAAGACGATAAAAAAATTCGTAATCCTTGGACAAGAACATTCAATAAAATTTCAATCTAACATTGAAAAAAATTAAAATAATTTAGATAACCCAATCCAAGGGTGATAATGTTTGATTTCCATGTATTTTTTTTATACAACTTTTAAAAATTTTAGTTTATAAACATTAAAAATTGAATTCTGATTGCTTATATGTTATAAAAATGGCCCGAATTCTCTTATTTTACATGAATACTTTAACATTTTTCGCATTCTGAATAAGGTTGCCTCTACGAAGGAGTAAAATTAGGGGTTTTTTCTTAGCTAGAGAAATTATTACAGGGACCACGTTGCAAATTTCCCAAAAGAATTCCGCATTTTTAAAATAATATTTTATTTGTTCTTCGGACCTGGTGGATTTTTAGACAAAACGACGTCTCGGAGATTGGAATTCCGGATCGTCTCTCCGCTTCATGTTTCAATCCGATTTCACGCAACTTCTGCTTCGCCAAGGACTTCACTTGCAAGGCGAGTTTCTTCATCAAGCAAAGTATGTTTCTAGGGTTTTGCCTGTTGGACTTTTCTCATTCCTTTTTCTGCTTCTGATTTGAAAAGCTTCTTCTGCTCGCGTTTTTGCCGTGGAAGATACGACCCAGTTGACTTTGTCCGAGCTTTAAAGGGTTTTTGCTTTTGCTTGCTTCTAGCTGTTGTGTTCTTACGTTTTCAGGGGCCAAATTCATAGTTTTCCAATGTGACAGTAGCTAAGACTTAGATTTCGATGTGAATACGCTTGAAATTTTGTAGCTTTTGCGGTTCTGGTTGTTGAATTTTATTTCCTAAGAGTCCATATGCAGCTTCTAGTCTTCGTTTGTGCTTGATTTCGAATCCTTATTTCAGTTTATGTGAGTAGGATCTTAGTATCTCATAGCCTGATTCTGTATCTTTGTTCGTTAGCTCTGAATGAAGTTTAGAGCATAGTTAGGGATTCAAATACTGAAGTTACCATACCATGGTTAAGTTGGAATCAAGCGTCCATTACTTGGTCTGTGGTTAAGGGCTTGAAGGGCCTAACTGAGACGCCCTCAAGCTTCATATAGGTACTTCACTTTGACTGAGTTAAGGTCTGAGTGAAGGTCCAAGCTCAAAAGAGTTTTTCAGTCTTGGAGGTTGCTTCACGATCATGTAACTGTTAAGTCCAAGCTCAGTGGTTGAAATGTTATGTTTGATTGCCTCAATCCTAAATGTTGGGTTGAACTTCTTGCTGCGATCCGGTTGCTCGTATATGGGCTTTGAGTTGGTTTAGTCAATATTTGAGTAGTCTAAGCAGTACACTGAGTTTGCCACATTGAGACCTTCATTTTTTTGGTGGGTTTTCTGATTTTTTTTTTTTTGCAGCAAATAGTTTTGCTAGTCTTTCATTGTGTTTCTCCACATTAATTGAATAGTTACATCTGGCTTTTTGCTCTCCCGTTTGGTATCTAGGTGGTTGATGATGATATGCGTGTGTTAGGATAGAATCTTCATACCTGGGGGAGAAGAGGAAAAGGAAACAGATTAGCGAAACCTGAGATTCGATCTTCTCTGTTCCATTCGCAATGCACCATTAGTTTCTTATGTGTGGAGTGGTGAGTTTTCTCCCACATTCATTTTCTTGTGAGGTTTGTGGCTGAAACAGATCCAGCCACGGTTCTACTAAGGTGTATTCTTTAACTTGATTTTCTATCCAACTCTTTACAGTCTCTACTCCATCTTGTGTAAATCCGTACAGTCCTTGCCAAATCTTTGGAGTTGGCTTCACAAAAGGCGCCATCATAGGATTGTGTCTCATATTTAGTATTAGTATAGAAAGGTGGTGAGATAGTAATATGGCTGATACCAGTCCAAGGACTTCTATATCAACAGATGCTGACACGGATCATAGAGATCAAATGGTTAGCTCACTATTTTGCTACATTTGCTTGCTTCTCCTTATTAGTTGGCCAGAATTTGAACAAAGTAGTGGTTCTCTGTTAATTTTGTGCAGTTCAATGGAGGGCAACTGGTTGTTGCTGCTTCTGATTCCAGCGACCGATCAAAGGATAAGTTGGACCAGAAGGTAATATGTCATATCTGTGGATCAAGAATGTCTTTATACTGCGCTGCTTATATATCGTCTTTCTTTTTTTTTTTCTGTTGTAAGCCACAGACCCTTCGTAGGCTTGCTCAAAACCGTGAGGCGGCTAGGAAAAGCAGATTGAGGAAGAAAGTGTGTATTCCGATTCAGTTCTTCTATCTATCACTCTCTCTGGCTGCATTGGCTTTGTTTTGATTCATTTCTTTAGAGGATCTCTATAAACATAGGTATTTGCTGCTAGCTTTAAGCCTGTCATTGCTTTCTGTGTAGGCATATGTTCAGCAGCTGGAGAACAGCCGATTGAAGCTGACACAACTCGAGCAAGAGTTCCAAAAATCAAGGCAGCAGGTTTGACTCTATTTTTTTAATAAATATTTGCTGACTCTTTGATGTGTTCATATTTAAATCTGTTTGTGTGGATATATCTACCTTCTAAACATTTGTAAATTTGTTTTTCACAATTTAGGGTATCTTCATGTCGAGCTCAGGGGATCAAGCTCATTCTACTGGTGGAAATGGTGGGTGGTTTCTTCTTCATTCTAGTCTTCATACGACAAGTTTTTTTTGGCTTTAGATCAACTGTTGCAGAATATGGTGCGGAGAGAGTATCACTTGCAGTCGATCTAATGTTGATTTGATGAATTTCTGGCATCATAAATCATCCTCAGCATTGTGGGTTGGTTGAATTGTGGTAATATCAAGATTCAGTGATGATCGGTATTAGGTACTGATGGTTACATAATTGGGAATGGTGTAGGTTTCGGGTTTAAAATGGAAATGACTTCGGCTTGTCCTTTTATAGGGAAATGATCATTCATGCTCCTTTTTTTTGGGCAGGGGCTATGGCATTTGATGCAGAATACTCACGGTGGCAGGAAGAAAAGAGCAGGCATATGAACGAGCTGAGGTCCGCTCTGAATGCTCATGCAAGTGATGCCGAGCTTCGAATAATCGTTGACGCATTGATGGCTCACTATGAGGAGCTTTTCAGGATAAAGAGCAATGCAGCTAAGAACGACGTCTTCCATTTATTATCCGGAATGTGGAAAACGCCTGCCGAGAGATGTTTCTTGTGGCTTGGAGGCTTCCGTTCTTCCGAACTTCTCAAGGTGAGTTTGAAAACCATTCCTCGGTGTTGTCAGCTCACAAATTCTATTGGTATATTGGGAGTATCCAATTTGGTCTCGTTCTTTAGCCGCCTCCTTTTTCATTTTTATATTTTTTATCATAAACTCCTGATGAGCTTATTATTCCACCAAAAAACTCACATTTATAGGGAAATACGAAGACGGGTATCATTACTAAGATAGCAAAAGTATGTGGGTCGTGTTTAGGATCCTAATTTCCCAAAACCCAATTTATTAAATAAAACATTCATACCCGATAAACTGATAAGAGCTCAAAACATAAGATAGTAAAGGCCAAAGATTCCTAATCTATCACATTTTTTCCTATACTGCAATGATTGATCAAGACTCAAGAGTTGTTTTGACAAAATTTCCGGTATGATGTTCATAAACTACAACAGCTTGTCGCGAGTCAATTGGAGCCATTGACGGAACAACAGTCAATAGGCATAATTAACTTGCAGCAGTCGTCCCAGCAGGCCGAAGATGCGTTGTCTCAAGGGATGGATGCCCTGCAACAATCCCTTGCCGAGACTTTGTCGAATGGAACTCTTGGTTCTTCAGGTTCGTCTGGGAATGTCGCAAACTACATGGGCCAGATGGCAATGGCAATGGGGAAATTAGGAACCCTCGAAGGATTTATCCGCCAGGTACAATTGCTATCCCCACTTCAGGTTCTCTTTGTGATTCTTATGTTTTGGCTTCATTCTTCGGTTTGCTTTTGCTATTTGAGATACATCCCGAGGAACTTGGCATCCTTCAAAACTATCAGTTGATAGGGGTCGGGTATTTGAGATTTTTGGATTATTCGAACCCGAATATCTCAGGTCTCAAGATATTACCCGATTTCATACTCATTTGGTCGGATACAAAAGGTTGGGTACCCGAGATGATTTTTGAATTTCATACAAAAGGACCTAGTATAAAATTTTGAATTTTTTTCATAATATGTATCATATGCTAGGGGTTGGTTGGGCCACATTCCTAAATTTTCGGGTTACCCAAAGACGAACCCGAAATTTCGTAAAATATCTCAGGTCTCAAGATATTACCCGGTTTCGAATTCAGTTCATAAATACAGGTTTGCGCGTGATTTATTTAAAACTTAGGGATAAAAAGGTAATTGCACTCCATTCGGTACCCGTCTCGCATCCAATTACTCGAACCCGAACCTGATTTTTGGGTTTTTTCGTGACCAAACCCGATCTCATATCATATAATAGCAAATTACCCAAAGAGTATATACCTACTGCGCTTCATATGCCATTTCTTGGATACATTGTTTGCAGGCTGACAATTTGCGGCTACAAATGCTGCAGCAGATGCTGAGAATATTAACGACCCGTCAGTCAGCTCGGGCTCTCCTCGCAATTCACGAGTATTTCTCGCGGCTATGCGCTCTTAGCTCCTTATGGATTGCCCGACCAAGAGAATGAACTGAACCCGACAGAGCTCTGTCCGTTAGTTCCTACAAGACCAAATGACTCGCTATTCGGAAAACACTTCTTCACAGAAATCACAAAAGCCTTGGAGTTTCAACCTTGAAATCTCAGCATATGGTTGAAGAAGAAGAAGATGAAGATGCTCAAAATCACAGAGAGAGAAGTGGCTGTTGATATGTGAGATGGATTGTACTGAGTTGTGTATCTTGTAAATTTAGCCTTTAAAGTTTATTTATGGTTTTGATTATTGAAGGTAATAATGATATCATATTGTAATATGCTTAAGTCAGAAGCTGTTGTTGTTGTAAACTAACATTACCCCACAGGCTAATCCTATTAGGGATGTTGGGTTTTACAATGTAGCAAAGTTTAAACCTTTTTATGCATCCCCAAGTTACAGATGCAAACCATGTTATTATAATCCCAATTGGAAAAGGTTGGTCAAAAGGGTGAAGTGTATTTTATTTTTTCTTGGTGTTTCTGTATCTGCATATAATATTAATAATGTTGCCCTATCAAGATTTTTCAGAGTTTTCTATGTGATTGTGAAGTGTCTTTTTTTCTTTTTGGTTGCATTTGTAATAGTCATTTATGAATTATTCTTTTGCAAATGATTGCTTTGGTCACTGCGTGTCCCCAAGATTGCTCCTCTTGCTTCATCTCTCTCTCTCTCTCTCCTTCCTGAACTCACTCACTCAGCAGAGCTGACCACTGTGCCCAAGTAAAGGAACACCCATCTCTCTCTCTTTGGCTGCTTTAATGGCTGCAAGATTAAAGTTCCAAGCTTTAATCTCATTGGCCTTCACACTCTTCTTCTTCACAGCTTACTCTTCTTCCTCAGAAGATGACGAACTTGGACTTCTTCTCAGATTCAAATCCTCCATTAAAGACCCAAAGAGCTCTCTCTCGAGTTGGTCCAACACTTCCTCTCTTCACCACTGCAACTGGACAGGCATCACATGTGTTAGGGCACCTTCCCTCTATGTCTCTTCCATAAAGCTTCAAAGTCTGAACCTTTCCGGTGAAATCTCTGACTCGATCTGTCAGCTCCCTTACCTCACCCACCTTGACCTTTCTGACAACCTCTTCAATCTGGCAATCCCACTTCACTTGTCTCAGTGTCTTACTTTGGAGACTCTGAATCTCAGCAGCAATCTCGTCTGGGGAACGATCCCTGACCAGATTTCTCAGTTCAGTGCCTTGAAAGTCCTTGATCTCAGCAAGAACCATGTCGAAGGAAAGATCCCAGAAGATATTGGGTCGCTGTCGAATCTGCAAGTTCTCAACTTGGGAAGTAATCTGCTCTCTGGTACTGTCCCTCCTGTCATTGGGAAACTAAGTGAACTCGTTGTTCTTGATTTGTCCGAAAACGGTTACTTGGCCAGTGAGATTCCTTCTTCTATTGGGGAACTGGAAAATCTTGAAGAGCTTCTGCTGCATAGGTCAAGTTTCCATGGATACATTCCCACTTCTTTTGTGCGTCTGCAGAGTTTGACGGTCGTGGACCTCTCACTGAACAATATAACTGGCGAAATCCCTCGATCATTCGGGTCTTCTCTCAAGAACCTAATCTCTTTCGATGTTTCACAGAACGAGATTTATGGGTCTCTCCCTGGTGGCATTTGCAATGGCAAGAAGCTCATCAGTCTCAACCTCCATGGGAATTTGTTCAAAGGGCCATTGCCCAGCTCGATCAACGAATGCTCAAGTCTTGAGAGGCTTCAAGTGCAGAACAATGGGTTCTCTGGCGATTTCCCAGTTGGAACCTGGTCTTTGCCCAAGATCAAGATCATTAGAGCCGAAAACAACCGGTTTTCGGGTCGAGTGCCTGATTCTGTATCAATGGCTTCAGAACTAGAGCAAGTTCAGGTAGACAACAATAGCTTTACTGGTGAAATCCCCCATGGCCTTGGACTGATCAAGAACTTGTACAAGTTCTCTGCGTCAGCTAATGGCTTCCATGGAGAATTACCTCAGAATTTCTGCGACTCACCCTTACTCAGTATCATAAACATCTCTCACAACAAGATCTCGGGGAAGATCCCGGAACTGAGGAAATGCAGGAAACTCGTCTCGTTGTCTCTTTCAGACAATGCCCTCACCGGAGAAATCCCACAATCCCTCGCTGATTTACCGGTTCTAACGTACCTCGATCTTTCAGACAACAATCTGACCGGTTCAATCCCACAAGGATTGCAGAACCTGAAGCTTGCCCTCTTCAATGTATCATTCAATCAGTTGTCCGGTGAAGTACCTCACTCTCTGGTCTCGGGTTTGCCAGCGTCATTTCTGCAAGGAAATCCCGGGCTTTGTGGAGCCGGGCTGCCAAATTCTTGTCCCTCTCATCAACCAAACCACAACAAGATCGGTGTTAGAACATTGGTTTTGGCTTTGATATGTTTAGCATTTGCCATTTGTTCCGTCCTTTTAGCCGTTTGGTTTATCCTCTCGTATCGGTGCTTGAGAAAGAAAGCTCAACCGAAGAAGAGAGCTTTGCATTCGGTTTTCTATTATCCTCTCAGGTTAACTGAAAATGATATCTTGACAGTGATGAATGACAAGAATCCTTCAGGAAGTGAAGGAGGAGGACCCTTTGGTAGAGTATATGTTATGGGTTTACCGGGCGGGGAAGCTGTAGCCGTGAAGAAGCTCGTGAATTTTGGGAACCAATCCCCGAAAACATTGAAGGGCGAAGTGAGGAACATTGCCAAGGTTCGGCATAAGAACATCGTCAGAATCCTCGGTTTCTGCTACTCGGATGAATCGATCTTCTTGATCTATGAGTTCATAGAAAATGGCAGCTTGAGAGATATGCTCTCTAGGCCGAGTTCTCACTTGCCGTGGAGTTCGAGGTTGAGGATTGCCGTCGGTATCGCTCAAGGATTGTCGTATCTTAGCAAAGATTACGTCCCCAATTTGCTTCACAGGAACTTGAAATCTACAAACATTCTCTTGGACAACGGTCTCGAACCGAAGCTCACGGATTTTTCGCTCGACCGTATCCTCGGGGAATCCGCGTTCCAGTCGATTTCCTGTGCTGACTCGTGCTATATTGCACCAGGTACAGGTTCTCGTCTACTTCCGTACAATTTAGACAGTCTTTTTTTTTTTTCCAATTGTTATAACTTTAGGATGGATTGGATTCGTGCCATGGATTCAGAATACAATTACAGCAAGAAAGCAACAGAGGAGATGGAGGTTTACAGCTTCGGAGTCATACTGCTCGAACTCGTAACGGGACGGAGAGCCGAGAGAGCGGAAGAAGGCGAAAAGGACGAGCAGCCGCTCGATATAGTGAAATGGGTGAGGAGGAAAATAAACATAACGAACGGAGCTGTCCAAGTTCTTGACCCTAAGATAGTGTCCGAATCTTCGAGGTCGGAAATGATAACTGCCTTGGACATTGCTCTCCGTTGCACGGCCGTCGTACCCGAAAACCGCCCGTCGTTGCTCCAAGTTATCAAGTCGCTTCAGTCGATCGGCTCGGGTATCCGCCATGCCGAGGGAGAGCTTCCGGTTTCTGTCTGAACAAATAACGCTCGTGCCATGGCGTTTTGTGTCGGACTTGACATAGTCCGAGGAATATAATGTTGTATGTGTTTTGCTTTGCTTCTCCCTTTATGGAATGTCACCATCATATGCTCGTTGAATGCGTAGAGACTTTGATAGAAACAGAGGGTTTCTACCAGAATGGCTTGAATTCCATCTTGCTTGAATTGAATATCGAGTTTGACCGAAACGTTTGGTGTTTGTTTTCTTATGTTAAAAATCATTTACACAAAGGCATAAATTTTATTAAAATAATTTTAAAAAGAAAATTCAAACTCAGCAAATCATGTAGAGAATTGCTCGACATGCAATGAACCTACACGAACATTATTAAATTAATGGTTTTCCAAATTCTTCTTCAGAATATTTTGATATAATGAAAACAATGTTGATACTTATAATTAAAAAAAAAATATTCAATTTTTGATCAAATATAGAAAGAATATATATATATATATCGGGGAGGGGAAATGCAACAATGCATGCAGAGGTTGAAGACAGGGTTGGGTTGTAACGACAGTTCACATCACAATGGTTATGCATTACACATTCCTATTCTGCAGAAGACAAATCGTCTCCAAAGGTTGCAAAGACATCTAACCTTTCTTGAATGGCTCCAGCATGTACACTTGTACCATCTGTATGTATACTTCACATATATATATATTGATCAAATCTCCATTTTCACTTGGTCTGGATGCAATGCTTCTGGAAAAAGAAAAACGAGTTCAAAGACTGTAAATTCTTGTTGGTGAAGCCCGGATGAATTCAGATTCGGATTCAAAACTTTGAAATCAGAGATGATATATAACAGCCCTTACCCGAGTTTCACAACTCATAATTCGAAAACACGATGCCTGAAGCTATGAAGCTATGATCATCGTGTTCTCTTTCCCACGACGATTGGTCCAGGGCACTGAGATTGCATTGCGGTTGATAATGTTGTCTCCTCTCCGGCAAAGTCGTGGGCGTAACCCTTCTACACATGTTGCTGTCATTAAGCAATCTGCCCTACAAGTATGGAACATGTTATTCAGACAATAAATTTCTACAGTTAAGATGAGATTGTCTCTATAGGGATCATAAATAACGTGTCGGATTTCTCAAGCATTACAATGTCAGGGTATCAAAATTAGACTAAACAGAAATATCAACCATTCTGTGAATGAAAGCAGAAAATTAACGATAAAGGACACTTTCCGAAGGCAGGGCCGATCTTAGAGAACTTCTTCGGTGAATAAACTATGCCCGGTTTCCAACTTTACTTTTCTCTTCAGCTTGCATGAAGAGACAAACATTGTCAAAATAAAATCGTTTCTCTTTTTTGTTGCTGAGGAGCATATACAAATTGGATGTTATTACTTACTTCAGCAGCCAATATATTGTCGAGGTTGGTATCGATTCTCGGGTTTACAGCAGCAAGTCTCATAGATAGGAACTGCAATCAAAAGAAAAAAAGTTACTGCTAGTGACAAGAAGGTATTAAGCATTTACCCGTTGCGCAAGAAGCAAGAAACTCTTTTTAGATAAAGAAAGAAACCTGAAAAATGGGAGTCTGATATTTTACCGTTTTTTCAAAGCGTACTAACTCAATATTCCGAAAATAAGGAAACACACACACAAAACATTCAATTCAAATTCAACTCGTGGTATTTGACCTAGAGGTCACGGGTTCGAATCGGGGAAACAGTCTCTTGCAGAATATTTGTTGTACAATACACCCTAGTGATGGGCCTCTTCCTCGAACCCTCGCTCAACGGGATGCTTTGGACACCGGGCTGCCCTTTATGGTATTTGTAATGTTCAAAATATTGAAAAATGCTCTTATGTTGATTGCAAAAATAATCTCACCTCAACTTGACGTTGTAGAAAATGAACATGGTTGATAATCTCATCGAGCACCATTGCTGTACCGGATACCTGTTCAGGGTAAATCTCAGTTTCTTCGTTCTTGAGAAAAAATAGTTTCTTTTTTACTGTCAAAATGCATGGAAGGAACCATGAAGCTATCATCTATGAAGGCATGAAGATACTGTAATTCAACAATAAAAAACAGAACTCATTCCCAATCAGTAAAATGGAAAACCCTAGACCAAACCCATGATAGTTGTTTAATGATTTCAAAACCAAACTGAATAAAATTCAGACCAGAGTCAAAGAAATTGTGCATATGAACGATATACCCTCCAGAAGATCCACATTCAAGATTCAGCATTACAGTCTTGTCCCACCATAAATCTTAATTCCGAAACACTAACGACCCATGTGCTGAAACTTCATGCCTGTACCAAGTTAGGCATATGGAAAATCCATATGAAAATGGAGAGGGAATACTTCTCTTTCCATTCGGCATTAGGGACGGGTGGTTAGCTAAGATAGCTACACAGACCTTCCACAATTTTTGGATGTCTCAACCGAAATGGACCTTGAGACATCTCATCAAAGTCCGTAATAAACTAGAATTTCCTCATTTACTTACAACTACAATAGAGAGGTTTCCTCACTACTTCAACCAAGCTTTAAGCTTTTGCAAAAAGATTGATAAGGGTAAGTCCTGATCACAACACATTATCCAATGGAACTGTGACCAACATCAATTAAACGCGATATACCTTGTTGCAGCCTGGGACCAGATCCTGAAGCAGCTTCATCCGGGCATTGATCTTTTCCCTTCTCGCCTGAAATAGGAATAAACTTGAATTAGATGAGTTGGAATACGAAATCAGTGACATGATTACAGACTGATTAGGACACAAATAGTAAGATTACTCTTTCTGCTAAGCTATGGCTATCTGTAGCTTGACCCCTGCGAGCTCGGACATGAACATATGGAAGCTTGTCTTTGTCTTTGTCTTCCTCTTCCGAGTTCTTCGCATTCGCAGAACGTTTGCTCTTCTTTGTCGATTGCTTGTCCTAATATTTCACAATGAACAAGAATTCATAAATAAGATCTTATTGAATCCGCTTTGAGGATCTGAAAGAGAAGCTTGTTACCTTCCTCTCCTCTTCTTTCCTCTTCACGGGTCTCTGGGTCTGGTTCTGATTCTGATTCTGATTCTCCAATCGATATGATGTGTCCATCTCCATAGGCTCGTTTTTAACTACTTCATTGTTGGGATTCGAGTTCGAAGGAACAGAGCTCGTGGCCGGAGAATCACCGCCCTTTTGTTGACCGGCAAGGATCGGGAACCTGGAGAAGCATTCCGTAACGGCGACGCCGGGAGGGAACGCCACCGGCGCGGTGAACGTCGGCTTGAGATCTTCTGTTCCGACGACGACGACCGCCGGATAATCACCGGGATCCGTCGAGTGAAGAAGTTCCACGACCTGAGTAGGTGGAAGCTCGAGCAACGCCGTGAAGGAGCTCCCGGTGCATTGCCGTAGACTCATCAACCGTTGGATTTCTTCGTTGAATTGGACCAAACCGAAGCCGTTCTCACTCAGCTCCGGTGGACCATCGACAGATCTTGCTCCGACCACCGCGCTCCGTTCCATGAATCCCTCGAAAACCGAAGAACCCGCGCGAGCCGACTTTGATTCAGGTCGAAACCCAGTGACCCAAAACCCCAGATTGATCCAAAACCGCCTCAGTTGCGGAGAGATTTACAAGGAAAATCCTCGCGAGAAATGATGAAACTGGCAAGAGAAACTTCGATCGGAGAGACAGTAAGTTTATTGGAGAAGCTGCTTCAATGGCAGTCAATGATTTCTTCTGTTGGTCTGTCTCTGTTTTTCTGTGCAGGAAAAAAGAAACAGTTCGTTTAATCATTTCTGTTTCGGTCGTAGTGAATTACGATTTTACCCTTAGTTATTAATCAAATTTCCGGTTTATCCTCAAGCATAAATTTGGTGGCCCATTTAACGGCCCAACAGCAAGGCTCTTTTTTCCTAGTAACCAACGAGTGGATTGGTTACAAAATTGTTTGGGCTTTATGTATGATTCTGGCATTGGATTTATGTGGATTTTTTTTAATGGGCCGGACACGTGTATATATATATATATATCCAGGACCTTTTATAGATTTTATAAAACCAAACAAATCAAACTCATATAAAATTGAACCAAATACAAACCGAGAACCTAAATATATATCTTGAATGGTTATTTATGAAAATTTTAAATACAAAAACTAAAAAAAATATCATTTAAATTTTTATAAAATTACTTTTTCTAGAAACAAACATTTGGAAAACAATTTCAGTGAAAAAAATCAAAAACTACATTTTTCAGATTAACAGATGTTATAGAAACTATAAAAAACCAAAAACCAAAATAAAATAAAAACCATTCTTGATTGAAAAGAAAATTTCCTCTTGTGGGATTCCCCCTTGCTGGTTTGGTCATGTCCCAACATCCAAAACAACATGGGACACGGACAAAAGACGTTGGCATTGTCGAGGGACACTCAGCGGCAATCATGAATCCCAAAAACATCTTCTCATATGATTTTTCACTCATTAAATAAATCAGTCAGTGATTCAAATGGCCTGAAGAAATGGGAATCAGAACAGGTGAAGCAGATCTTCGTCCTCGGTGAAGCTGTAGACCGCCGAGAGAGTCAGCCTGCCAACATGTATGCATATGTATAATGCCGAATTTTACGATACAAATGGTTTAAAGGAGATATTAGTAGAATGGTGGTAGACCTGAAGACGACCATTATGAAGAGAGCCAAGTAGAAGCCGAGCTTGAAATACCGGAGCTTCTTCTCGTAGCTAAGGCCTCTGAACACCTCAGTCACATCAATCAGATGCCGTCGGTCCATATATCTGGAGATATTACGGACCACCAGAGTACATCAAATGGGGGCACAATGGGTTAACATCGACTAACTTGGCACATGTTGTATCAAACAACGAACAAAATGCAAAATGGGAAAACTAATAGATTGTCTTCCTAGTTTTGTGAGAAGCTGTTTGAAACGAGGGCGGTGGTCTTTCTTCATTACACGACAAATGACCCTGCTCCTAAAACGGTAAAGCCGTGTTTTTATCTACGCATCTGTGCAATGCAGATGTTATACGCCCACAGGCAGAAGTAAGATTGTATAAAGACAATAAATGCAGATAAATGAACAGAGAGATACTTACAGCAACGCGTGGTAGCATGTAACGGGGACGGCGACAAGGAAAAAGACCCAATGCCATGTGACGAGAAAGAGACAGGACAGTGCCCCTTGAAGGACAAACTCAGGGAGTATCACCCGGTTTATGCGTGTTGCTGTCTCGAAAGGGTTCAGGTAATCGGCTTCCAAATCCGTTAAACAGATCATCTGCCAATCACAAGAACAAGAAACCGAGACACGGTATCGCTTTTATCTATTTCATCATCACCTCATCGTATCCCCGTCTCTGGAATGGAATTCACTTAGTTCGGCAAATAGGCAACAACCCACAAGAAAATGATCAATGTGATTCGAAATTCGTGATGGATCGCTGATTTAAGGTTCAAAATCTCAGAGAGCTCAGCCCAAATCAAGAACCCTTTTTTTGTCTCATTTACTGAATCATCATGTGAAGTTTCCCATAAATGTTGAAGAACAGCTGGAAAAGTTTCCTGATTTTCTTGGCTAACGCCTAAAATGAGCGAATACATTCAAGCATTACAAAGGAAAAGTTGCTGGAAACCAAAACATAAAGTATAAACCAGGCAGAGATCTCTAAAGTTTCATCCGAAATTCATTAATAAGATCAAGAACAAAAAGGCTAGGGTTTTTCTCTAGTTACGGAGTTCAATAGCTAGGGTTTCAGGCGACGAACAAAAACCCTAGAAATCTAGATTCCATGATCTCTCTCTCTCTCTCCCAGATCGCCATAACTAAAAATTAACAGAAAGATGGGGAGAGAAAAAGGGTGTTACTTGATAGAAGACGGAAGCAACGAGGGCCAAGCTGATGAAGAAAGAGAGAACCCAGAGGAACAAATCCCACGCCATGAACGATCTCTTAAGAAATGGGGTCAGATTCAGCGAAGACGAAGAAGAAGATTCATCTCTGTTTTTTTGTCGGAGTCTCGGAATTTATCGGACACGGAGTTCGGCAGACAACCACAACTAAACTGCAACTAAAGTCTAAAACCACTTGCAACACGAGCGATGGTTTTTTTTATTATTTCATTTTAATTTTTACAATAAATTACCAAAATCATCATCACTCATCGGACTGGAAAAGTGGAAAAGTGAAATAATGAATTATGAACTATTGTTAATTTTTGGTTGTTGTAATATTTGTAAATCTAAAAAGTGGAATTTTTAGTTTTTAGTTAATTATTTTATTAAAATATTTTTTTAGTTTTAAAAAAATTAAATTTCAAAAATCTTAATTATCAACTTTTTTTAGTTTTTAGATTTTAAAAATCCAAAAAATCTTCCATTCAATCCCATAGTTATAGATTGATGAATAATTCATTGATCGAATGATCCATATATCTTAATCCGATCCGAATGATTTTCAAACCCATTTCAAAATCTGAATATTTGAATTACCCGAATAGGATTCTGGTATTAAAAATAAAATATCATGGGTTCGAGTTCTACCACTTTTTTTTTTGAAAATCGAATTTTATAGTAATTTTTCTAATTATATTCAATATTTATAAAATTCGCATTACTTCTATTTATGAAATTATCGGTGGAGTTGATTTATAAAATTAGTATTAGGCCTAAAATTTATTTATAAATTGTGAATAAATAATTTAAAAAACTATCATTTAATCTATAATGTTTTTGTACGGGTATCCAAAACGGGTATTCCATTCATCAATTAATATTTTCTAAAATTTCAATCGGAGTTCGGATTCCTTGTAATCCTGTTATACATCCTAAAAAAGCACTATTAATGATTAGACTTTTAAATTGTTTGTTTTAATACTTATGAAAAATAAAAATAAAAACTAAGTGAATTTGTCTATGCTAAAAAAAATATTCCCTGGCAAGATTTTTTTTATATTTTTTTTCTCACATATCAATTTTATTTGGTAAAAATTAATGATGTATATTATCACATCACGTCTCTGGTCAATGGAAATCAGAATTTAAAATATCCTTTTTTTAATCAAATTCCTACAAGTTTTGATATACACAATGTGAATAGTTGGACATTATATTTTTGATATAAAATTCACATTATATTTTAAATTCCCATTATACTTTTTTTTTTTATTTTTGTTATCAAAATGAGGATGAAAGATTAAGAGTTGGACATTTCGGATACGGGTTAAATTGTTTTTAAATTTGAATTTTTCATGTTTTAGAGAAATTATTCTCATCAATTCGTTCTAAATTGGATTTTTCTCGATAAAAATATTATTTTTTCAAATATAATTTTTTATCTATTCGATTATATATATTTTATTGTTTCTTTGATTTTTATTTTTTCTTATAAACTAATGCCATGGTTTAAAAATATAAAACTAAATAATTCAAATGTAAAATTTATATCCTAAAAATTCAAAATCTTAAGCTGTACTGATTGCTGGCATCGCGGCTGTTGCGCACTCATAATATCAATGGCTACAATTATTTCTGTGAATTAAATTAAATATTTCTGTCATGAAATAGGAACAAAATTCGTATTTTTAAACGTTCCTTTCCCTTTTATTTTATTTTATTTTATCCTCTCTTCACCCAATTCCTTTATCCGAAACCGATCAGGACAAACCCCACACCTTCCACGCTGTAATGTCATCTTCAACCATATAATACCCCTTTTAATCCTCTGCCCACGGTTTTCTCTCTCTCAATTTCGTATTCTCTGATCTTCCCTCGGTTTTCACAACACGCTTCATTGCTCTTTTAGCGGTTTCTTCTACGATTCCACCACCTCTCCGTCAATTTTTCCTCTTCGTATTTGTTTCTAAGCTTAGGTTTGAATATTTACACCGCAATTGTGTGGAAATTCTTGACGAATAGTCCGATTGTTGCGCGATTTAACCACAAGGGTTTGTTCTATTGACGGGACCTGAAGGACCCAGATCGAGTTTCTCTCGAATACCATCGCCAAACCCTTTGTATCGATTGAATTAAGCCATCTGGGTATCTATCAATCCGACCAAAGTCGTAAACTTGAGAAGCATTGCGAGGACAAGACAATGGTGACGGTCAATTTGGGAATGGTCCACTACGTTATCGACCACATATACGGCGCGTTCGTTCACCGTACGAAGATATCGCCTCCGTTCTTTTCGCGTGGATGGGGAGGTCCGAAGCTGGATCTGCTCGAGCGGATGATTAAGCAGCTTTTCCCGGAGGTCGAAGGGCAAAACTGGCCTCCGAATCTGATCCGTCCGATGTGGAAGACGGTCTGGGAAACACGAACCGCTTGTCTGAGAGAAGGCGTGTTTCAGACACCCTGTGACGACGAACTCATGGCCGCGTTGCCTCCGGAGTCACGCACCGCCAGGGTCGCCTGGCTCGTGCCGAAGGACGTGCCGCCTCAGAAGATGGCTTGTGTTGTTCACCTTGCCGGTAGACTCACCTGCATACTGCATTGATAAATCTTTTGCGCTTGATGGGTTTGGTCGATTGTGTTGTGTTCGTTTGCGCAGAACCGTAAGCATTGACTATGGTTTCCATTTAGTTTCTGAAAGAACAAGAGGGAGAATCCAAGAGTGAAGTACTTACATTGACTGTGATGAAATTTTTGTTTTTGTGATCATAATCTATATCTAACCCTCGAGATTGTGTCTGAATTGATATTCTTCAGACAGATTATGCCTGCTAGAAAATTTTGTAGCTCCTGATGGTATGGCTTGGATTGCCCCCTACATCATAAGTTTGACTGACAATTTGTAGCCTCGTTTTTGCAGGAACCGGTGACCATACATACGATCGGAGATTGCGTCTTGGTGGACCATTGTTGAAGCACAACATTGCAACGATGGTGCTTGAAAGGTAATAAAATCTTTGAGGGCTAGCTATGAGTGTAAGCATTGAAGGATTTTTTGAAGTGCAACAGCATTTTTTATCAAACATAGATATGAAATTGCAGCCCTTTCTATGGCCAAAGGCGTCCTTTTCTGCAACGTGGGGCAAAGCTCCTATGTGTTAGCGACCTGCTTCTATTAGGAAGGGCAACCATTGAAGAATCTCGTAGCCTTTTGCATTGGCTTGACTTCGAGGTGGGCTTCGGAAAGATGGGTGTTTGTGGACTTAGTATGGGTAAGTACTCCTCTCGTTGTCTTTCTGAACACGATTTTAGCAGCTGCATTGGATTAAACACGGAAGAATTGATGCTAAATTAGCAATGTTATCCAACATTTTCCGATAATGTTTTCTAGGACGGAAAGTATGCCTTTGAATGCTTTCTAGGATGGATATAGTTTCAGGACAGACCAACCTTCCCAGGGATAAGTCATATAAAACTAACTCGGTGTCTTGGCTGATAGTTGTAGCTGCTTCTTTGCATATAAGCTGTTTAGTCTTTCTCATGTAGCATTAGTCCAGTCTCATGCTCCTCCTTATGCTTTCAAAACACACACAAACCCCTACAGATTTGGCTATCAGCCTCAGGATGAGACCGGTGAAAATCTTTGTATTTTTCCGAGCTACATTCATCCTAAAGTGGTGTATCCCATTGCCACCATGATTCCCAATTGATTTGTATGGTCACAAATCCATGTTTTATCGGGTTCTTTTCCATATCGAAGTTAAATGGTTTGATGATGATATTAGGCGGAGTTCATGCAGCAATGGTTGGATCACTTCACCCGACACCAGTTGCCACCCTTCCATTCCTATCTCCACACTCTGCAGTTGTGGCGTTCTGCGAGGGGATATTACAGTATGGAACCGCGTGGGAAGCACTGAGAGATGAACTTGTTTCACAGAAAGCGGCAATGACTCTCGAGGAGGTGAGAGAGCGGATGAGAAACGTGTTGTCTCTCACAGACGTCACTCGCTTCCCTATCCCCAAAAACCCTAACGCTGTCATCTTGGTTGCTGCAACTGTAAGTACAAGTGAATCATTGCCACCATCTTCAAGGGCTTTTCTTCTTCCACCATATATATATATATATATATATATATATATATTCCATGATTCATTTTCCTGCTTCTTCTACTCTTCTGTTCATACACATGTTGTTGCGTAGGATGATGGATACATACCGAAACACTCGGTCTTGGAGCTTCAAAAGGCGTGGCCGGGCTCAGAGGTGAGATGGGTAACGGGAGGGCACGTCTCTTCGTTTATACTCCACAATGGCGAGTTTCGGAGGGCCATTGTTGATGGGCTTGATAGGTTAGAGTGGAAGGAGTCCTAGTTCGTGTTACCATTGCAACAACTCTCTCTCTCTCTCTCTAACTTGAAGGGGGTTATCTGTGTGAATATGTATCTTCTTTGCAACTGTTGTGAAATGGATCTGATTTGATTTTTGGAATAAGATTATTTTGATGCACCATTTAACATGTCTGGATTTGGTTTTTGTTTGGATTGCTGATTTCCTTCACTTGGGAAGAGCTGAGATCAAATCAAAGACCAGTTGAGTTCGGTTTGGTTTTGTTCTTCTGATTTTGTCGAGAGTGTTTGGGATTTGAGAAGTTAATACGAACTTGAAACTCTTTATAATTGGAGAGAATAATTTTATTTTTATATTGAAAAATTATCAAAGTGAAATTGCAAATATGATTATGAACACAATTATCATATGCATGTAATCAGTTCACCATTAGGGGTGTCTATTTGGAGTTTTGGTTCGTGTTCATTTTTTTTTTTGTACTATTACATTTTATCCAATGAGATATGAGATATGGATAATTTTATATTTTATTCTGAACCTACCCTTTTAAAATATATTTATAATAATAAATATTGTAAAAATAAAATTATTATTTTTTATTTGATTCACGAGTTGGATGAGGCAGAGATTTTTTAGCTCGTGGAAAACGGGTCGAAGTCAAATTGAACCCAAAACGAACCGATTCAGAACGATTTGGATTAAGATTAAACTGAATAAACTCGTTTTACACCCTTAACCCTTAACTAATACCCGTTTTCTATATTTCTTTGTTTTAATTTGGTTGATTCGGTTAATCAATTTTATTGATTATTCAATCGAACCGATCGGTTAAGTAATATCAATAACCAATCGATTATTCTAGAAATAACCGAATCGAATCGAAATACTTTTATTCGATAAATAACCGAAATAAGCAGGGCCGTTTGCCTACATTCCTAATGTGAACCAACGCTTCTTACTCAAAACATATTAAGCGGCTCATCGAAAGCATACGTGAAACTCAACCTTAGCTAGGGATTTCCATCTCACGTTCCATTGACAGGGTAGGGGTAGATATATGCAGGAATATTACAAAATTTGAAAATATTCGAATTTCATATATATATATATATATATATATATATATATATATAGATGTAAAATCTGATTTTGTATTCATGAATTTTGTACATTCGAATGTCGTATATGCGAATACTGATATTCAAATATTGTAAAAAATTTAAGGTAACTTTGTATTTCAATAAATATTATCGATATTTTTTAATTTCAAGAAAAATTAGAGATAATTAAATTCTTTTTTAAAAATATGATGGTATTTTTTTAATAAATATTTTTTTTTTGTAATGTATCCAGAAATTCAAAAAAAGGGAAAAATTTACGAAATCTGAACTCCAACCCCATATTCGAATAGTTTAAAATCAAACCCCAATTATTTTGGATTCGGATATGGGTTTGGGTGGAAAAAAAAAATTGATCCTTTATTTAGCCTGATGCTAAGTACAGAGGATATTACAAAAATACTATTAAATGTGATCGAAAATTTAAGTAGTATCTTTGAAATCCTAGGATTTTCAAAAAAAAAAATATGAAAAAGATTGAAAAGACGTTAAGACCCTTAATGAAAAATACACGTGTCAAAATCAGAACAAAGATAGCAAAAAAGAAGAAATTATGAAATTAAATATTTTAAAAAAGTTTCAGTTTCAAAACTAAACAGGAGGACAAAGAAATAAAAAAAATGGATAATTTCTTCCTCTCTCTTCAATCTCACGATCTCTCTAACAGACATAGTGCGATTTTTCTTTTTTGGCGATTTTTGTTACGATTTCTTCTTGCAATCTCGTTCTCACTTTAGAATGGTTTTGTCTTCATCGTCTCCGACTCCTATTTGCGAAGATATCCAGGTACGGTTTCCATTTGAAATCACCGAAAAAGTTCGATGTTTTCATAGAATTTCATTTGTGTATTTGAGTAGACAATAAAGGGAGACAAAATCGAGTCAAATGGATCATATTAGTAGAGTTATATGGATCAGAAAAACTAGGGTTTCAGTTGAAAAGTGAGAAAAAATATTTTTCACAAAGTCGAGTTATATGAGACTTGAGTCACAGCCACAGTGTATAAATGGGTCATATTAGTGGAGTTATATAGACAAAAAAAAAATAAGATTTTGGGTTAGAAAATGAGAAATAATGTTTTTCACAAAGTCAAGTCATATCGGACTTGAGTCATAGTGTGTCAAAATGGTTGTACTAGTCACAATGGTCACATTTGAAAGGTATAAACATATTTGATTAGTCTGAGCAAACTGGTAAAATTGGTCACACCAGTCAAGTAGTCATACCAGTAAAGATGTCACACAGTCATAGACTCACAGTAGTCAAACTAGTCCCGAAGTAAAGTGGTCATACTAGTCACACTGGTCGCACTTGAATGGTGTGACAAGTTTGACAAATCTGATAAAACTGGTCGAACTGGTTACACTAGTGAAACAAAAGTGATAATAAGTGTTAATTTTCTTTTTGCAGGTTTTTTTTTGTATATGATTTTAACGACATTCACCATGCTCCCAAGATCATAACAAAGTGTTATCATTTTCAGACCATTCGATCTCTAAAAAAGACTGTAAACAAACGAAGAATGAACATATTCAAAAAAGAGTCGCAGTTTCGACACATTTTCCATCTGCAATGTGAAGACACATTAAAGATGGTTCATGTGTCTGTCATCTTACACCGCACACTAAAGTTGGAAGGAAAAGTGAAAGAGTTATGGTTTATTCTGAACAGTGTACTCATTAGATACTCGATCACCGAACATGTCATTATCTCTGGTCTAAACTGCGAAAAGTATCTAAACACTACAAAAAAAACTCAAAATTCCAACCGGCAGATCCGTTGGAAAAGGTCGAAAATCCGTTGGAAATGGATTTTTCCAACAGATTTCCAACGGATAAATCCGTTGGAAAAACGTCATTAGAAAATCGATTCCATTGGAAATCTGTGGCAATTTCCAAACGGAATTCCAACGCAACAATCCGTTGGAATATTTCAACGGATTTCCAACGGTTTTTTCCATGGTATAATGTCAACGGATTTCCAACGGATTGTTCCGTCATATAATTCCAATGGAATTCCAACGACAAATCTGTGGCCAATTTCCTACGGGTATACGTTAGAATATCCATTAGAAAATTTCTAACGGATTTACAACGGTGTTTTCCACGGATATCCGTTGGAAATTCCGTTTGAATAATCGTCGGAATGTTACAACGGTATTTACAACGGCTATCCGTTGAAAAATTATAACGGATATCTGTTGGAAATCTGTGTTGGACATTTGCAACGCTATTTGTGACAGATATCCGTTGGAATTTATCGGGGTTCCAACGGATATCCGTTGGAATGACCGTTGGAAAAGAAAAAAAATTAATAAAAAAATAAAATAAATATTTAAAAATAAAATAAATTATTATTTTATTTTTAAATATTTATTTTATTTTATTATTAATATTATATATATTTATATATATATATATATATTATATTAATAAATATATATATAATAAAACAAAATTAAAATTAAAATATTAAAATAAAAAAATTGTTCAAATATTATAGAAAATTTAAATATTTCAGAAAATATAAATTAATTAGCACAACGGGTTTTTTCGTCTTCGCTGGTCTCGAGATTACGTGCCGTCGTTTCTGCTCTCGAGCTTGGCGGCGTGTTGTGGAGTGGCTGATCACCTCGCATAAGCTCAACGATTTGTTCGAGGTTACTCACTTGTTACCTCGTCGCCGCAAACTGTTGTTTGAGTGTCTCGATCCACCATTGTTGATCGAGATCACTCTGCATCTGTCACCATTTCAACATAAGGATTTCTTATAACATCTTCATCTACATCATACCTCTGCTCGGCCGACACATGTTGTCCCGTTGTGATTGTCCGAACTTCTTCTCCATGAAATCGCCAAATATAATAATCTTCCATAAATCCCCTTCAAAATAGATGTTTACAAACATCTTCTAGACTGCGATATTTAAAATTGAGACAACTTGTACATAGCATTTTTTCCACGTTCTTGGCACAACGGCTGCATGGAAGCAAAATTTATAAATTGTTCCAAACCGATAATGAATTCTTGCGTAACCTCTTTTGTAATCGGATCAACTCTTTCATATATCTACTGCTGGAACGAACTAATATTCGGATTTGTTGAAGAAGCCATTTTTGGGAGAATTTTTGGTGTAAGGATAGTAGAATAATGATTTAGAGAGTGGTTTGGAAGAAAAATGGTCGGATGATTTAAATAGACAAATATTCCAACGGACATTCGTTAGAAATCCGTTGAATTTTCATCGACCGTTAAACTTTCCAATGGATATCCGTTGGAATAATTCGAACGTTATAAATTTCGACTATTTCCAACGGATATCCGTTGGAATTGTTACCTCGTTTCATAACGTTCGGATATTTCTAACGGGTGCCCGTTGGAAATTTTTGAACGTTATTTCCAACGGCATATCGTTGGAATATGCGTGGGAAATGTCCAACGCTGATATCCGTTGAGTTGCCGTTGGAAATTTCCAACGGATTTCTAACGGACGCATCTGTTAGATATCCGTGGGAAGTCCGTTAGAAAATCGTTGGAATTATTCCAACGGCTGGCTGTTGGAAATCTGTTGGAAAATTTCCAACGGAAGGATCCGTTGGAAAAATCCATTGGAATTTGGTCCTTTTTTGTAGTGAAACAATGATGTGGAGTAGTAGACCATGGTATCAAGAAAAATGATGTGATTCCCAACACCTTAGTTGACATGGTTGAAAATCTGGAATTCTATGAAAAATTTCTGTGGGGGAGATATACCTTCGAAAAGATAATCAATCAAACATTGAAGGTGTATGTAAGATTCGTCGCACCATCAGACTCGTCAACTAGTCAAACCGTCAGACTTGTCGCACCGTAAAACTAATCAAACCGTCACACCTTATCGAATTTCGCAAATTTAACAATTTCAAATGGTAAATATATTGCTTATCACCCCAATGGACAAGTATCTTGGATTGAAACTAAGTTCATCTCTCTAAATTTAACATATTTTGTTTTCTTACTAATGCATATTCTCTCTCATACGAAACCCTAAAGTTCTAATAGAGTTTGTGTAATAC